GCGGCAAGAAACCCATGGAGCCAAACACACGAGAGATCACTGAAAACGCTTAAACAACGGCAAACACAGTGGTAAAAACGTAATCGCATGAGCTGCAAGTATTAGCCACCGAAATTTTCAACCACAGTGCAAAGAATTACTATTTTTGATGGCAAACATTCGCCCTAATTAGACTCTTCCGAGGGCCAAGAATTGCAGTAAACAAATGGCGGTAGTCGGAAACATCAAAGCAGGAAGCAGACAAATACAAAGCAAGGGCCGATTTTGAGACTCAGACCCGAATCCGGCGTACAGGTTGAAATCTGCTGGCCTGTCTGGTAGAAAACCTCTTGTCTCCAAGTCTTCGGACTCAGCATGGTTTGTCTTGAAGTGCTTATACATAAACTGCTTTCCTCTTTTCAACAAACTTTGCGATATTGAACAATCAGCTTGGGTTGAAAAGCCGTTCGTGCTCACACTTTCAGAGTGATTATTCAACGACGTCACTGACGTGAGATCTCGACAAAAAAACTACTCAGTTTTCCGAGATGATTCGGAATTTGAGAGGGAAGGTGGAGTTGCTTTACGCAAAAATACAGACCGGCATATCCCGATGGCCCTCTCTGACAACACTCCGACACACTTTGTGAAGCATTGTGAATTCCACTGCCGCTGCTTGTGATTGGTTCTCCCCTTTCCAACGAGAAGGTTCGCTAAGCAACAACAGTTTGAGAGGAATCCGTGTCGGCCTGGGGGTATCAAGTTTTTAGCAGTAAGGCTCTCTTCAGAATTCTTTGCATTTGCATGGCACACTGGTGAGACTATTACACCAATTGTAACGGTATATTCGAGTGCCGCGTAGTACCAGAATCATCCAGAAGTCAAAACAAAGTCGGAGCTGGGTTTTTATACGGTACCATTAATGTAAGACAAATTAACAAATTATAGAAACCTCGACAGTAGCTACTCGTCCAAAACAAATGGTCCACTTGGACTACAAAATTAAAAACCAAAGGAGCCAACAGACTCCCAAGTGCGACAGTCACACGTGCACAAATTTAGCTACAAATGTCCGGTTGACCTCAATGCTAAATGGGTAAAGTGGTAAGAACAAACAAACGTCAGTTCATATACACACACAGGACACAAAAATTGGGGCGCGGGTTACAATTGTATACGGGGTAAACGTGACGAATTTCAGTTGTCGACGTAATGGATGATGCACCTATATCTGATGAAGGAAATTCGGTCACCACGAATGTCGTTCTCCTTGAAAAGCCTGTTATTCAGGGCCTTTCGAAGTTACTCATCGAAGTGATGTGCGTTCGAGTTTGCTGGAGCAGTGTTAATGCCTGCATAGCGTTCTTTGTGGACTTTAGGTGCAAATAATTTTTTCACCTGTAAGTTTCCTGTTCCTGTCCCTCAAGAAAAACGCGGTCAGTTAACTTCTACGGCGGTCTCCTGTACTTAAAGAGCATGTTATTGTTTCTCCCGGTGGGGTCCAAAATGGTCATTTGGTATGTTCCCTTGGCGGATTTGTGACTTGCAGGCATTCCTCATTTAACCAAAACCAGCTCATCTTCTGTGTCTTACATTTTCAGCTTCTTAAAACACAGTAGGAACCTGTTTGCCAGAAGACGCCGAATCCGTCTGAGTAACTTGTGGTCCATCCGATTGCCTGCTGTTTTTTGGATGAACATCGCGTAAGCCTCGATAATTTTCTGGAGAGTGGTTTTGTATACCGCTTCCGATGAGGCTGGTCACAGTTTAAATTGATCAACGGGGATGCGCATTTCTGAGAAGTTTGTGCGACAGAAGTTTTGAATCCACTTTTAGTTTGGGGATTTTCGGCCCAGGGGCGCATAATACCAAAGAGCAGTACGCAGTGGTCGCCATGTCCATAAAGATGATCAAATCCAGCAGGGGTGGTAATTGGCATGCGAGTTGTCTGATAAGTATGACGACATGTTGAGTCTGAGCGCTCTCCTGAACTATTTGCTCGGCACCGCTGCAAGCTGTCCACTAGACCAGAGGCGCTAGATCTCCATATACGAGTCCTGGGAAGCGTTAGAATCATCTTCCAGCAAGAGATGTGCGAAATGTTGGGCGGGGGAGAATTGCTCAACCAATTGTATGAGGAATTAGTCGTCTTCCGGAAGTCAACGGCAAACTACGAAGAGAAGAAGAAAATTGTTCAGGCGTACCGGGGTTCAGGTCCACAGAACGGTGCAAAAGGGTGCGTGAAAGAAAATTAAAATGGCTGAGGCCACATGTAAATATAAAAACCTCGCTAGCACTCCCTGTACTGAAGCGGCTCAAAAGATAGAGTAGACATTTATAGAGATCTCCAAGTAAGAGAAATCTGATGTGAGAAGGGTTCATGTAAGTGCGAGTATGGACGACTGCTCAAGGTAAGCTGACTATCTACTATCGTGTGGCATGTTGAAAACCCTGATACATTTCGTGAACAAGTACTTTGACACTGATTTTCTGTCTCCGAATTTGAGGAGCCATGAAGAGTGCTGCCAGACAGATTGGAAAATTTATTATCTTCACCCTGGGGTTGAGCCCAAGATAACGAAATACCCTCTGTGGCATACCTGTATGCTTCCTGCTTTGGTGGCTATGAGGGCTGATTTTCAGAGGGTGGGTTTTTTGTCCGGTTTGATGTCTGGTTTGAACCGTTTACGGATAGTAGTTTTCCATTCGTGAGCAAAATGTTCGATTCCTGATACTTTGTGGTTGTGATTAAATTTGTCAAGGATGCTAGGTGGTCTGCGCGGTATCTTGTGCGCCCAACCAGACGTTGAGTCCAACCGCTCTGTTGGACGACTCATGCAAGCACCGATTCAAAATGTCCAATTGATCCGAGGCGCGTAAATCCCACTCAGGAGGATTCGGGAGCGCCCTAATCACCCACAACCAAGAGATGAGTTCAGATGTTGTGAGAGACCTGTGTTAGTGTTCGTAAGAGATCAGCTGCCCTTGAACTCAAAAACGGCGGATGTCTCATTAGCTCACTATGAAGGGTGATGGAATGCATTCCGTTGCAGGCCGTCTCAGTTCATCTCACTGCCAGTAAATTCATATCCAAGGCGAAACACGAATTTCACACAAACTGTTCTTGCGTGGCCAACATCCTCGTATTAGTGGGCAGGTTGACCCGACCTGAAGACCAAGGATCCATATTGAATGCCATTAAAGCATTTGATCGAGTCCCACGGTTTTCGCTGCCCCACAATCTCCAGTCTCATGGGACTTATGTGGAAATTCGGCTCCGGACTAAGGCGTTCCTATCCGACAGACTATTCCGAATGGAACTAGGCTTGGCCTGCTCTCCTGCACCGGTTTCTATTGAAGTTCTTCGCTGCCTCACTTGAGAGTCAATTCTTATTTTGTCCACTTCAGCAAGCTTACAGACACACTTCTTAGTCCACGTCTAGTTACCGCGGACGATCTGAAGTTCAGGAGCTCCAATACGGGTGCCCTGGAAATGGATTAGACGCTGCAAAACAGTGGCCCCGGACTGACATCTTTCGCTGAATGAACAAATGGGTTCATCTACCATTCGGAGAGGACCCAGCAAACGCCTTTTTCCATGGATGATATGAATGGGCCAGAATATAATACCAGGAAAGGCATTAAGAGAATTAAGTAGCGCACGTATATCGGTATAACCGGACTACGTAGAAGTCCAGAACTCAGTGCAGCGTAACAAGTAGCTCGTATGTATTCGAATTAATGTATATGTACAACGTGTTGAATATTAAAACAAGGGAATAATGAATAGAGCAACGAATGGTGTATCACTCATGTTCATCACATCCGCCACACCTCGAATGAGCGTGTCGATGTTTATAGTCCAGTGGTGTTCATGACCGCGAAATTTCAGAGTCCAGTGGTGTTCATGACCGCGAAATTTTAGATCTCGGAATGTGAACTTCAGATTCTTCACAAGTAGTGCGTTCTTCGGATACAACATTTTGTTCTGATACTATAAGATTATCTACAAAGGATTCATTGGCATTCGAAACGGCAGGAGTTCCGCTAAGAGACTGACCTTTGGTATTGAACTCAACCCGGTCAAAGTGTCTCTGGTGGCAAGAGAGATCATCCAAATAGAGAATTGCGACCATTCGTTTGCCATTTGATGAAATACTGCTCATGTAGCAGGTCGTAAAACACTACACTTGTAAAATGTAACATCAGCCGTTTGGGCACAGTCAAGACTTGTCCACTCTATCTAGTACCCAGTTCAAAACACTATTAGACGCATTTTCATGCAAGTACTCATGCTGGCAAGCATAATGTTTGCGCTGAGAAGCTGAAGAGCAGCGCTACGCCCTTTGTCACTTATGCGTTTCAGTTGAACGGAGACGGCCGAACAATCAGAGCAAAATCGACCCGTTAAACTTGTGCGACCCCCTCGATCCCGTGTTTCAATTCGGGAGGCTGTGGATCAGTGAAAATTAGAAAAAATTCAGAAAAATTAACTTACGAGAGAAAAGAAGTAATTAGGAAGACAAACCTTAAGATGCTTATGTCTTCCGTTCACATATTCCCGTCTACCCCTTATATATCTCTCTGTCAAACAGGGGAATCACAGCTGCACACCGACTTCAAGGTTTCGCGAGCTTGGAGGCGAATTCCATAGCGGGACTGGATTGGGAATAACTGGTCATTACAGACACCTATAGAGTGCTTTTTGAGTGCTCTAGCAGGAACAAACATGCAGTAGAAATAATTTGATAAGCAATGGTATTAGATGCGACAAAGTTACTTGAAAGTGGACAAGTCCAAAGACCATGCTTATTGTTATACTGGGCCACTGCTTCAGCGTCTGACCTTCCCACGTTTGGCGGTGTTGGGAGCATTTGATGAAATTGACGCGCATCTGGTGTCTTCGTCGCTGCTTGTCTACTCTGTTCCTGTGGCCTAAAGATAAACTTATTACTTCCTTTCATCCTTCGAGTTTTGTGTCACAATACTATCAGAATAGTAGACTTTTTAGTCGAACGACGATGGTGGAAATAAAAGATCCAGAGGGTGTTCTGTCGAGAATGCGCTCCAGGGTCCAGGAGCAAGTGGGTTCGCGCTAATAATGTTCTTATATTAGGGTAATGTTGTTCGGGCTCTTAAAGATAGAAATGCCTCAGAGGCTGAACTGCAGGCTGCTGTCGCGGAGCTGAAAGCCCGTAAAAAGCTCTTGGAAGAAAAGGTACGTACTCTGCTGTACTCCTGATTCCTTGTCCAACTGAAGGAGTTGGAGTTGATGCCACCAATAGCTTCATTCGATCGAGGGAAATTAGAGGATCTACTAAAGCAGAAGTTCTTCTATGATCAGGCCTTTTCCATATACGGCGGTAAGTTTTGTTACCAGACTCTGGTATAACACAATGATTTTTTAAACCATGCATCAAATTCAGATAAGTGATTGTAAGAGACTGCGACGATGCACCGGCGCCATCTTGCGGGATTGGGATACCAGGGTTATTGATCGAATCCGCCTGGAATTCAGTTTGGGGAGGCGGACGAGTCCCACTGAAAGCCCTTCACAGAGACTTTGGTATTGTTAGGCATCATCGCAGCAGATGGTACCTTCTGTGGCCCTGTACTACGGACCGCCGCGCACCAACTCGTCCTAAAGACTCGTCCGTCAGCTTCTGTTCCTCTCAGTGAACCAGCTACTTTGGGAGGGTATTTCACAGCATAACCGCTACGGTACACAGTGTGGCATCAGTCCGGATTATCTTTCCTCTGTTCTCATTAGTTTGTCCGTAAAAACTTGGGTCTTTTTATGCATGGTGTCCGCGACGGGATTGGTTGACCAGACCAGAGTCTCGCTGGCAATTTTTATAGTAAAGCAGATGCATCGACTTTTAATCTTCCCCTTAAAACGTCTTCATCGGGATTTTGTCCCCTTCTGGCTGAGGATGAGGAGCAGGTAACCTGTCCTCTAGGATGAGACAAATACGGCTAGTGTAAATCACTCGGGAAACTTCAAGAGATGCAAACAAAGTCTCAATTTCGAAATGCTGACGGATGACAAGACCTCGCCTCGTAACCAACTTGTTTCCAGGTATTTTCTTTTGCACAGAAAGCGGATTGCGGCGGTACGAAAGTCCGTCCCTTGTAACAGTGAGCACAAGCGCCAGGGAACAGGTTTGCATTAAATGGGGGGGGAGAGTTCCGTAGGCGGACTGTCCCGGGAAAAAAGAAGGGGCGACCAGTTCCGTTTCGCAACTAGAATCGGAACTGGATAAGGTTAAATTGAATTTAATAGGCGGGCACTGTGACTAATAACAGTCTCAGGGACGTAAGGCTTTAGCCGAGACAAGCAGCTCACTTAAGCATATCCTTAAAACCAAGCAAAATGTGCTGTATTCCGACTACAAATGTTTGCAAGTTGCTTGGATGGACGGGCGTGTCAGTTGAGTATACAATCTTACTGTAAGTCGAACGAGGTACCGATGGGTGAATCCAGCTACTCATGCTAGAAGCAAACCAAATGGGCAAGAATATTGGTGATAGAACCGAACGTCTTCCGCAGGGTATGTGTGGGAGAAATGGGTAGCCTGCGCATTTCGATTCTGAAGAATGTACTTACATTTGACTCTCAATAAAAAGATTAAGGGCGTTTTCCTTACCGTTCGAACGATAAACGATAAATAACACTTGTTACAACAGACCAAACTGAACTTCAGACAGAAAAGGCAACAATCAGATGTTGGCGTCAATAAAACAAGGAGTTTGCGTGGGTGCAAAGTCTGTTCTTTAACTGGAAATAATGGAACACTATAGCTCGGAAACTGGGGGCGCGTAAGCTCACCTTGCTCTGGGATTCTGATCTCGGTGAGGAATATTATAGCACTGGAAAACAAGAGCGGAGATGATGGGCCACCTTAGCACCACAAATACAACCACGAAGATTGCACTGAAAAGTATAGGAGACACGAAACAGCTGGGTGAGGTGATAGGCTGACATCCTAACTTAGCGTCTTTGAAAACCAAGACACAAGGCTAATATAAGTTAAAGCAGTACTGCACCTCCGGGCGACAGCACGAGCCGTCTGCTACCTCCAAAAATCTCAAACGCGGGTTCTTATCATCGGTTTGAAGCTGCCACCTCTGTACCACTCGTCCGCCGATGTCTGATTATCTTCACCCGCTCAGGTCATCCTCACAACTCTCACATGGATGAGTATCTTTAGACACTACTGGATTGCCGATTCCCTTTATCATCATTGGCTGCGAGAACCGCCTACTCGCCGTACAGTGGTTCTGTCTACCACAGTTTAGTCCGATGATGTTTCAGGAGATTAGGTAAATAGCTACGCATTGAAGGCGGTTGCTGAATTATTTTATCCGTAAATACACTGGTGTCACTGGACTTTTCTTTGGGAGATCGGGTGGGGAGCTATGCATTCAATGCAACGACTCAGATGTACGAGCGCCATTAAGGGATGACTAGACCATGTCTGCCAATATCTCCAACACTTTTGAGTCCCGTATCGGAGCCTGCATCCAGAGAGGCCGCAATCATCAGCGCAGCTAAGTTTGCTGGCAATGAATTCCATACTTCCTTGTCAAGTGCATGTTGGACCTTGCCTGGCAGGTTTCCATTCTTCATGCGTTTGTGCGGAAATGGCTTTTCGAGGAAGTCAGTCAACTGGAAGGGGGAGCACGTGACGAAGCCAACGCAGCTTATGAAATGTGATCAGTTCATCCACCTTGGGCGAGTTATTTCTGCTGAACACCATTCTGTGTGGTTCACCACCAGACTCGGACTGTGCTCCGATGGTCAAGCGCTGAAGATTTTCTGCCATCAGGGAGGTGCGGCCTGGTTTTTGACCTGTTTAATAAGATAGAGCGTACCACAGTATTGCAAACTCGACCCTTGACGGATAAGCTGATGTCACGCCTACGCCACGGGTGATGCAGGCCCACGAAAGCGTCAGACCCAAGAAGACTGTCTTCCGAGTACTCAATATTTCTGTGAAAGAATACCCTGGGAGCATTCAGACCTCCAGGCATCAGAGGCACAGAGAGTTTCTCAATCGTATCAGTGACAAAGTGGAAGAGCAAAGGTGAAAGAGAACAGCCTTGCCTGACATTACTTGATATAGTGAGCCCAGGCGAGAGCTTCTCATAGACTTTCACGCGTCCACAGGAGTTGGCGTACGGGAGTTTACTGAGGTTCAAGAACTTGCGAGGGACACTTGTTCAATGGACACCGGCATAGTACCCGATGGCGGATTTTGATTCAGTGGTTTTCGGAAACCATGTCGCTTTTCCAGAATCTGTCAGAGGTTGGAAATGTGATCGGTGAATTCTCTTGCAAAACGGAACCTGGCTTGGTTCAGTCAACCTTCGAAGGATAAGATTAGAGTGCAGTTTCGATGTCACATTTGCCACGGTGGTTTCCACACAGAGTCCGCATTCCGTTCTTTAGGACAGGAATATCGACGTGCCCCATTCTGCAGGCACCCTATTCACTCCTTCATAACAGTGAGCTTTGGCTGATGGTTCACCGAGGATTTTCCGCCTTCTGGCTGGATACAGACCATCCTGTTCGGTGCTTTCTTGGGTTTCAGCATTAATAGTTCTTGTTTTATTTTCTCCGACGGACTTACCTTCCATTCTCCCATACGAGCTGCCTCCGTTGTCTGTTGCAGGAGGCCAGCTAAACTGTTCGAGTTATTCAACCCATCTCTCAAGTCGACGTTTTTGTGAGTGAAGTAATGAGCCGCCCTTTTCAATAATCGTCTCACTGACCGATGCTCTCCTAGGGCCAGGCGATCTTATTAGTTGATACACGGCACGGCCGTTTACGGTAGCAAAAGCCTGAGCTGTTGATGTCCTCCAAGGTTCTCAATCTTCCCCAAAGCTTTTCACTGTTTGGCATTTGAGGGGTTTGCGTGCACTGACCTACTCGTTGCCTGCTGGTACGGATCACTTGGCATCAACCATGCCTAGCCATTTCGACGATACCCAGTGGTCTTGTGGTCGGATTGGATAAGTCGGACAGACAGCACTGAGCGCCGCTAGCATAACTCCTTTCACATTTTACCGTCCTTCGTCCATGTGCTCTCTACCGATACAGTATTGATTTAATGAAGAGATTAGTTGAGCTAGATCAAGTCGATGCTGTTGACTTATATAGTTCTTCGGAAATGGTAGATTGGCACGCTTCTGACTGACTTGCGAGTGTCTGGAGGGAACCACACTGTCTAGCGTGCGCACCCTACGTGATCGGACTCAGGTTGTATGCCCTAGAAGGAACAGCACTTCCGAATTACGGCTGTGGTCCGGTGGCTGATGGCCACGTGATCCAGTTACTCCACGCCTGGTTTGTACCTGGCCATCGAGTTGCACGATACGAACGTGTGTGCTGAAAGCTCGTGCTGACTAAGAATAGTTGACTATCAGCACACTATTGAGAGAGTCGCTCTCCGTCGTCTGCTTTACGAGTATCCACTCCGAATCGACCGCTCAAACGTGATTCCAGGGTACTGAGACGACCGACCTGGGCATTCATATCGCCCACAAGGATCACAGTGTTGCTCGACGAATAAGCACGGATAGCTCTCGATAGAAAGTATCCTTCTCAGTGTCAGAACTGTAATTCGTTGGGACACAAGCCAACTACAAAGAGCCACTGTTGTATTTGTCGAGAGACTGAGTTGAATAACCGGACGACGCAAAATTACAATTCACTGGAATCCAATCCAGCAAAAATCGTTCAGCTCTGGGCCGTATATTCAATGAGTCCTCGCTTCTGGATCACCGGACGCATGGAGGGAGAGATGTGAAGGAGCTAAATCAGCATTTTAATGTGCATAACCATATTTGGATCTTGCATGCGTGTTTCAAGGGCAACATACATCAATTTTAGGACAGTATATGGTCTCAGCGTGCATTGCTGGTCTTCCAATTTCATAGAATACGGAATTTATTTTTTTTTCTACGTAGAAAGGATCTCGTGGATTTGGCATGGTTTTATTTTGTTTACGGGCAAATAATACTTTCCAGCTGCTCAGGCTGAGTGCGGGGTTTGGTTGAGCTACCCGAACCTGAGTCTTTAGCTCAAGGCAGTGGGAGAAAGTAGGTTTCTTTCGAGTACATTTTCCCTAGCATCTGAACCGCGAGGCAGCGGATAGTAGGGTTTTCTTTGGGGATAATGCCCACAGTTGGGGACAGCACAGTTTTACTCCTAAACTGCTTCGTTTCACGATTTCTACCAACACGGGGTCTTGCTGCTCTTCGTCTGACTGCTTTCTTGGCATTTCTGGCACCTTGTGGAACGAAGTTCCAACCACTGTAACCAGCACTCAAACCCGACCAACACTTCAGTGTGGCAGCA